AACTTAGCTTCCCTGCGAACTCAACTTTTTTTGCATCCTGTACTGGAAGCATTTGTAATTGCCTGCAACCGCTGCTAGTAGCACGACACCTACAGCGAAAGGCATTACACTGGAATTCTCGGTGAGAATTTTAGAGGAAGTGCAAAAGCACTTCAAAAGTAAATTGGCGAATCCTTTTATAATTGCGTATTCGCTACAGGATTTCGCAACTTCTGAATTTGTATTTGAGAGGATTCGCATAGTTCGGAGGGAGGGAGACATTGTTGTGTGCTCCGCACCTGCGACCGGGGGCGATATACCCCGGTTATCGACAAGTTCCGCCGAAGCAGCCTCCAGACGACCCATCTGCTGACGTCACGGACGGCCGTCAGACGCCACTGACCGCCGCAGCCGCCGTTGGTGAGGGCGTGCGCCCCGAACGCATTCAAGAGGTCGCCTACCGGGCCCCTCAGGCCCCCTCGAGCACATTTGCCACGAAGGGCTCTCAGGCAATGTAACTGGGAGCAATAAACCTTTTGAAGTATTGTCAAAGCAGTGCCGCGCCAAGGGACAAGAAAGGTCCTCAGGGACAACGCTGTAAATACTAGCTAGAAAATAATTTTGTACTCTTCTCTAGTTGTAAGCGTTCCTTTACTTTTAATCTCTGATTTTTTCTTTTTATTCAATCTTTCCTTTCTTTTATTTTATTAATGTAACTTCCCTGGTACAGTTTGTCCAGGAATAAACTTTGTCTTGTTACCAGAGATCAAATTGTACATACATACATTTACAGGAACAAGGTAGCTGCATTCAAAAATATTTTTTAGAGTTTACAGGACATTATGAATGAAATAATACTACTTTATTTTACATATTTTTTAAATATTTTGGTATAATTACATATTTTTACATATTTTACCTATTACTATGTATTCATTACTTGTTACATTTTAATATATTTATATGTCAAAACTGAACATTTCAGATTTGAGTTTGCAATACTCAATGTTCCTGGAATCATCTTTCTTACAAAGCAATACAGAGGACCTCTATGACAACTGGTCCTCCTTTATGAATTGTCAAACTTATTCCTCCCCTTTTTTCTTGAAAATCACATACTCGGATGCAAGATGAGCAGATGGACATGTGAAGCAGAAGTAATGTCAAACTCACTCTTGCCCGTGTTTCATAGACTCCATGCATAACGTGATAGAAACAAACAAATGTTGCGATGTTGGAATAGGCCGGGGGGAATGTCCCCCCGGGATCAGTCATGATTAGCATGGTTCTAAACTATTCACTTGAGCACCATCTCGTAAACAGTATGTTTAGGATGAACATATTTCATAGAAAGAAACGACGAAACATATTTCACGAAAGAAACTACTGTACAGTTACCTCTGCAAAGAAAGAACTTTCTTTTATTCTCTCCAAATCCATGATAAGACAAATCAACGTCCTGTGCTCTTAAAATGCTTATATAGACAAAATTTAAACTCTATAATAGTTTCTTTTAACATTTTAAAAAAAATAGAAACTACCTTTCTCTCTGAGACAATATACATGTACTACCTTTCTCATTACAATAAATGCCATTCCCCATCAATCACTTTGAAATAGTCAAAGAGATCGAGGAACACAATGTTCATATGAAAAACGCCATCGAATATGATCTTTTGGGACCTTTTTCAAATAATCCATCGATAAACGCTAGCGACGGTATCACTCGCGTCACAAATTTCATCACTAGTATCAATGATGTTGATGTTAAATATATCCTCAATATAAATAGTTTAGGGAAATTTGTAAATACTGATAAGCATTGTTCCATTTAAGTGGTTTTGTCACCATCATCAAATGGTCACTAAACTATTGAGAGAGAAAAAAATCTGAATGCCCTTCCCTCATTACAATTAATTCTGATATCACTTTGATGCACAGAGAAAACCCAAAAAGATAGAGAAATGAACTTGAATCACTTATCCAAGAAAAAGTTATCAAAGAAATTTATAAATGGGACTCCTAAGATAGTTGATATAAAGAAAAATGATCCAAAAAAACTGATTAAACAATTTAAATATCATTATCAAAATGTAAGAGGTCTGAGGACCAAATTAATAGACATTAAAAAATGTATTTATCAGATAAACAAGTACAATGTTGTAATCTTTATTGAAACATGATTTGTTCTGGATACACTAAGCTTGGAGTTGAGAATGCATTACTTCATTGTATATAGAAATGATTGAAATCCTGATGACAGTAATCACTTGAGGAAGAGATGTTTTTATACGAGTTCAAGACACATATCAAAGTGTAAGTTTACACTCAGCATGCAACATTGAACATCTGTTTGTTCATATTCATAATACAAATTGAAATTATTACCGGGGCTCTCTACTTTCCACCTAATACATCTGAGGAGGTTATGTCATCTGATTGTTGTATTTTGATGACTATAATCTCCCAAATGTAACTTAACAATGCATCTCTTTGATCTAGGAATGTAGCAAACACATTGTGTAATACAAAAAGTTGTTTAAACCTTCATCAGCATAATACAACCCCAAATGTCCATGGAGTATATCTAAACTTAGGTTTTTCCAGTATGCTTCATGCATCGTGTACTTCTGTTAGTGATTCAATTATAAACGAACATGTTTACCACAGAATATGATGATTGGGTATATGATTTTAATGCATCAGACTGTAGTAAAATAATTGAATACATGGTATTGCTTCTTTCATGTATTTATGTGAAGGATATTTATTTTCCTGAATGTATAAACTTTTTCTATAACTTCCTTTATTCTTGCATTGAAGCATTTGTTCCAAAAAGAAAATTAGTTAATTCAAAATTTTCAGAGCGGTACAGCAATGAATTGAAAACATCAATTATTTTAAAGATTAAAGCTCATAAAGAATATGAAATGCATAATTCAAATTTAATTTCCCAGACCTTTTCATATCTGAGGGGTAAATGTATATAATTATTATTGACAAGAGATTTTAGAAACAATCTGGGCAATTCATTTGTAGCCAATTCGAAAAGCTTTTGGAAATATTAACAATAGAAGATCTGATAAAGGACTCCCAAATGTATGCAGTATTTATCTGAACCACTAAATGATGAAATGTCTATTGTAAACATATTTGTGGCATTTTACCCATAAACAGAGCTGAAATTACCAACCTCAGCTTCTCTGACCAGATGTCCTATTATATCTCCTCTCTATATACATCGTCTAATTAAATCTTTCAAAAAATATGTGAACTCAACATTAATAAAAGTGCTGGCCCTGATGCAATACCTCCTATCAGTGACAGGATTTCAAATCTTTTATTGGGGGGAGGGATTTGGGCGCAATGATGAACACAATAATATGAGTTTATATTTGTGCCACAATTTGGTAGTGGTAGTGGTAGTGGTAGTGGTAGTGGTAGTGGTAGTGGTAGTGGTAGTGGTAGTGGTAGT